CACTCATTTCCACATTTTACTCCTGAAGGCTAAAAGAGATGATGCACATTTCAAATCATAATTACTTTGGCTGTTAATCCTCCTAATACGGCTATAACTATATGGTGACTGGAATGGTTACTCTGCAAAACACAATGCCCACTCACTTATCAGGGAACCCTTATAGCCAATATATCTTGGAATCCCTCACTGCCGTTATGAATAGCTGCTGTTGAAAATCAACCATAGAATAAATTTAGCAAATAATATAGCTATGGAATAATAACAAAGCCTTTGGAATAATTATTAAACTTAAATTAATTAAAAATATTAATTTTGTTTGTTTTGTCTCAGAATTTCCAAGGAGCAGTTATAGAGTGCTATAGAAATGAATAAATGTGGCTAGGGGAGCCAGACACCCACAACCTTGTCACAGAATATTATTCAAGTCCTTGATTTTATAAGCACAGGAAAGATGCACAGCATCTGGGACTACAATAGTGCAAAGGACTGAGCAGTTAGAATACACACATACAGACCCCTGAACAAGCACTTTCCTCCATCAGTCTTAACTTCAAAAAACTGAGCTTCAAGGCTCTAAATAGAGGGAAACTCTGCCCGTCTTTTGTCTGATTCTACTCCAGCAGGACCAGTGGTATTTTCTGAGATTTCATGGGACATACATTAGTGCAGGATTTCCTGCTGCTGTTTTCTCATAAGCTCCCATTTCCCTAAAGTTGGCAATATTAGAACTTTTGAAACCAAGCAAACTGTATCTGTATTAGCTTCCCATTATTTTTTCATGACACTTTCTAACCACTGTACCTCTCTTGGTGCTGTAGGGTTTCCAGTTTATATCCTTAAAGGAAGTACTTTCATGACCCTGAGGACAAGTATGATGTATTTCCAGTTTTGCTGTGTTACTAAAAAAAACAAAACCCTACAAAAATCCCCAGTAAGCCACAAAACCAGAACTACTAAACGAGGGTGCCTAATAATGAGGGGATTAATAAGATACTGTTTTGCAGCAGTCCAAGCATAATAAGAAGTGTACCAGCACTATTGCCTGGCACAAAGTGATGTAAATGAATGAACAGCCATAGGAGCCAGTGCCACCGACTGAAATTCGCTGCTGTCAAATTGTGAGAACTAATTGCTCAAATGATTCCCTTTCAGCTTCTCTCCCACCTTCCCATATAACTTCCCCTCAATTTCTAGCACTACTTTCAACAAATCTAATTTACTGCACAGTTACTATTTCCTAATGTGGCATTTTTTGAGTAAGGCAAGAGTTGGCATGGGAATGTTTTGTTACTCAACAGAGCTCTTGCTCCAGTTACGTAACACACTTGTATTTTTTTAATAGATGCCATATATGTTGTCAATAATTTCAGCACCTTGAAGCTCACATAAAGCATACAGATATGCATCAAATAATACATAATGTTGGAGCCTATCACATATACGCTATATACGCTGTATGTACAGATAGAGGGATCCTTGTTTTAATATTCCATATCAAAGATACATGCGCTTAGGCTTTCACAAAAAAACCCCAAATCCACAGTGTTGAAACCCACACCTTGTTGTGCCATAGTAATGACACCAGGTTAACGAACCCCAAAACTCAACTCCAAAATAACCCAGAGCAAACCCTCCTACCCTATAGTTTCGGCCAAGCTGCCAAATCCTATTACAAATTCAATCCTATTAAAATGTTCCCAGGTTTAAGCCTGCTTTGGAGTTTTTCATAAGAGTGCGTGACCCCAACCCAAACCCCTCCATGTGTGGTCAAGGGACCTGCGGATAATTGTAAACTTCACGGGCTCCCATTAATCTCGGCACAGTCAGATATTAGCGCTTGTAAATCAGCACCTAAACAAGGACAATAGTTAAAGCCATCAATAGTCTTTTAATGAGGCAGATCAAAAACAAATGAAAGCAGCGGGGCATTGGGCTCTGCCAAGGAGGGGCAGGGGAGCCAGGGGGCTTTGTCTTCCCTCCTCGCACACCAGCCCATGGACGGAGTCCAGGACCCCTCCGCGGCGGCCGGGCCCGCCGCCCAACTCGCGGGAGGAGCGCGTCCGGCCGAGCAGCTTGCCGGGGAGGCTGGGAACGGCCGGCGGTGGCCGACCGCCGCCCCGGGGGCGCGGGTGCTGCGGCTCTTCGCCGCTCCCACCGGGACAGCGCCCGGCCCGGCGCGGCGCGCCCGGCAGCCGCCGCGGGGCCGCGCCCCTCCCGCCGGCCGGGCGCCGCCGCGCCGGGGCAGCGCGCGCGCCGGGGCTCCCCGTTGCCGGGCAACGCGCGCCGCCGCAGGGCCGCGGGACGCCAGCCAGGCCGCGCCGGGCTTAGGAAAGCGCCCGGTGTTTGACGGGGAGTGCCTTTCCACCGGCATCTCCCCTCCGAGCCGCGTATTTCAGGTTCACAAAGGTGAAGGGCTCGGCGAGAAAGTGGAGGTGAAAGCCCGGCCCCGCTAAGATCACCGGGGACGGACATTCCTCCCGGAGCTCTTCCGCCGCTGAGCAAACGGGGTTTTGCCCCTGTAGTACAACGCGGGCAGGAGGGAGTGTGAGGCGAGGGCCCGCACCCTTGTGTGGGTGAGGTTTGCGTGGGGAGGACACGCGGCGATCGTGCCTCGGTGAGGCAGCGAGCCACCGCTCTGCACCTCCGCCAGCCTCGGCCAGCGACGCAGCCGGGGCGGCGGGGCGGACACTGGGCTCCTGAAAGAAAATGTTTCGTGGTTTTTATTTTTTTGTTTGTTCGTTT